ATGGTTACGATTTCTAATTTTATTAAATGAGTATTTGCCAGCATTTTATGTCCACTGTAGATTGGTCCATTCTTTGACGTTTTAGTTCATTGCATCTTCGTGAATTTATCTATTATTTTGTAAGGTAGACCCTATGTTTATGTCTATTTATAAACTCGACGAGCTCCCTCTAGTTCTAATACATCCAAGAAATGATCTTTTACGATTATCAAGATGTGTGAGAAACTAAGGTATTACCCAAACTCATTGTAATAAAAGAAGACAGATTAAACAGACAAATTAGTGCGAATTTCTCCTTATAATTCTTTAAATCGCTGACTACTTCATTCAGGCTCTAATAAAGCTACAGCTTGTATTTTGCGAGAACAAAATTTGATCCCAGTTTACATTCATTGATTAGGAAATATTTTAACTCAAATCCCTGCATAGTACAAGTTCGTTTGTTTACAACGCCCGCGTTGATCTGGAACTGCGACAATTTCCGATACTCTCATAAAAAAAGGTTCCTTGGATAACTCTCAACTATTTTTTGCCAGCAAGTTGACAGATACACTTTTATACGAGTGCAACTACAGTTGTAACCACTTATTTCCTTTTCAATTCTTTTCTTGACCAATGAAAATTAATTTTCCAAAATTTTCTTAACTCCCAGAGAACTATCGTTAATTCTATTGCATCAGACTAAAATCAGATTCTTACTGACTTTGCTGACAACAACAAGTCGCATCGTTGTACTCTTACACTGAAACAAAGACTTAATTTCTGTAACTAATCAACAAATCCTTAACATTCATCAAAATATTTTATTTTCTGATGAATGCACAGAATAAAAAATTATGTACAAGTAAACACTTGAATCTTTTGTTATTGGTGATAAACTAATTCCCACTGGTTAACCCTTTCAGGGACATTTTTTTCTGTTGCTCTTATCCCGAACCTGAAAGTATACATAAAGGTATTCGGAGTCGCTGATTACGAATGTGAAGTCCGATTTTCAAAATTCAAAATGGCGGATCTAATAGGGCGAACATAATATTCAAAATGAAGCTTATATGAATTAAAATTTGTATACTTGGATTTTCGGAATCGCTGGGTACGAATCTGGAGTCCAATTTTCAAAATTTAAAATGGCGGATTCGTAATGAGCAAGCCTATATACCCTCATATCATCTTTCAAGTGAAATACTCAGAAAACCGCAATTCTAACCTAAAATAGCCGCCATATTGGATTTTTCAAATTCTTGAACAGCGCCTTTAAAAGACCTTTTATACAAATTTTCATATAATTATCTTGAAAACTCTGTCCAAGATCGAATTTATTCGAAAAAACTGAAAATTTTCGATCTTTGATTGTTTATAAATAATTGAATAAATAAATTTTCAAATTTTTAATGAACGCATTACGAAGCCTAAGTACTAATGATGGTATTGAAATTTATTCAAAAGCGATTGAGCTCAAAATGGTCCCGGTATGGATAAAAAACTGAAAAAATTTAGGTGTATCATATATGATAAACTGCCCCTGAAAGGGTTAAGAGAAGGTAACCATCACCATGTATGGAAAATGAAGTTTGGTATTTACTAAGGACACATTATGAGTCTCCTATATTCTCTGAAGAGAATATGAATGGATTGCGGTTCAGACAATTTATTTTGAGACATTATGGTCTCATTGAATGTTTACTTTGATCACTTGGCTTGATCGTCTCCGAGTAATACTTAGGAAAAAGGATAAAAGATCTCGTATACCACGAACGATCTATTACAAGAAATAATATAACTGATTAAATCAATGAAACTATTCCATGATTACACACCAATAAAATTCTGCAAGTAAAGTAATAAATTAATGGTAATATAATTAATGTACTTGTTAGTATATTCATACGAGGTGTGATCAAAAAGTAAGGTGAATTTTTATTTTTCTCAAAAAATATTTATTTATTCATCAATTTTTATTTTATCTCCTTCAAAGTAATCCCCCTCGGATATAATGCACTTGTGCCAACGCTTTTTCCAATCCTCAAAGCATTTCAAAAAATCATTTTTTGTGATCTTGTTTAGTTCATCCTTCGATGCCGTCTTTATCTCCTCAATCGTGGCAAAACGCCGTCCTTTCATGGGCCTCTTCAGTTTTGGGAACAAGAAGAAGTCACAGGGGGCCAGATCTGGGGAATACGGTGCCTGTGGCATCGTTACTGTGTTGGTTTTAGCCAAAAATTCGCGCACAAGCAACGATGTGTGAGCAGGGGCGTTATCATGGTGCAAAAGCCAATTTTTATTTTTCCACAAATTCGGACGTTTCTGGCGGATTGCTTCGCGCAAATTGCGCATAACTTGCAGGTAATATTCCTTATTTACTGTTCTACCCTGTGGCAAGAACTCATGATACACCACGCCCCTGCATTCAAAGAAAACTGTAAGCAAAACCTTTACATTTGATCGAACTTGGCGTGCTTTTTTTGGTTTTGGTGATCCAGAATGCCTCCACTGGGACAATTGAGTCTTAGTCTCGACGTCATGACCGTATACCCATGTTTCGTCACCTGTTATAACCCTGTTGAGTAAATCTGGATCATCGTTGACGTCATTCCGTAGCTCTTGGGCGATGCTCATGCGACGTTTCTTTTGGTCGAAATTGAGCAATTTCGGAACAAACTTCGCTGACACATGTCTCATGTCTAAAACACTCGTTCAAATTGATTGGCACGAACCAAATGAGATGCCAATATCATCAGCAATTTCTCTAATGGTAATTCGACGATTTCCCAACACTATTTTCTTCACTTCTTCAACATTCATCACATCACACTTGTAAACATTTTTTTGGCTTAAAGTAGACTCACCGTATGCCACTTACAGCATTTCAAGTGTTTTGGAACATTTGATTCCATTTTTCACACAAAATTTAATGCAAACTCTTTGATCCATGTTTTTAGACAGCAGCAAATCGTGGAGCATGCAAAACACTTCTAACCTTGATGCCTCTCACAAACAAACCAAACATACTACAAAGCTGAAATTTGGAACGTATGTTCTAGACGAGTGTACCGACATAACCAAATAAAAAAGTCGAAGATCGAACGGACGTAGCCCGCTAAATTTCAAAATTCACCTTACTTTTTGATCACACCTCGTATACTTGTATATTTTATGTTTTTTTATTTAAAATAAGTTATGATATATTATGACTATAAAAAAAATATTTTTGACTATACCGTATTCATATAAAATATTAAAGTTACGGAAAATTATCCAACTTTAATCTTCGCAAGTTTATAAGTTAAAAAACATAAACGCTACATGCAATACAGTAGGATGCCGAGAACTTTATAGAGTCTTATATAATATTTTGAATTCTAGAATGAATGTACGGGTGGTCTGAACTACCTTGTACATTTTATTATTATTATGACCATTTTTGGCAAGATTGCGATGGGAAAAACAGCTTAGTAGCGATTCCTCTGTCCTCCCTGACCTCTCGCTGTCTGAAGGCGCTATTATTAAGCCGAGCATCAATGTAATTGCGTCAGCGCATTGCTAATACCCGGTTTATATGATTTGAGGTGCGGATTAGCGGCTTATAGAGCTGAGGACAAATGAGCTGTATGACTGAGAGCAAAGAGACGTATGGGGAGGGGAGAGGGAAGAGAGAATAAAAGAGAGGGGTGGGAAAGGAAGGAGGGTAGTTGTGATGCAGAGAGTTGACTGGTAGGATCATCAGTGGTAGCAGCAGAAGTTGTGTAGCTGGATTCTGTTCGAAGAAACGTCGGTAGTACGTCGGGAATGACGATTACTCAGCGCCGCGGATCGCTACAGGACTTTGCGTTTTGGTTTGATCTGGAAAGCCGGGTCGTCCACGACTACTACAGCAAATTCGTCGGCGTTTGCTCCGTCAGTACCGACATCCGAGTCCACCAGAATAGAAGGCGTAGCAGTTCGAATCAATCAACCTAGTGTGAGATATCTCTCTTTCCATTTTTTCCGTTGATCACCGGTGTACGCATGACAATCGCGGTGTCGCGGACTCCAGACACGTGATGCTCCACGGTGAGAAGGATTGCAACCACTGAGCGACCTTTGGTTGTCCAAGTCTGCCGGAAAGATTCACCACTGTATGCCATGCAGCAATGCCGATTTACAATGGCTGACCACCTCACCGTGAATACCGTTTCGTCCTGAACGTTTGTTCGGATGGGACACATCCGCGAAAGACTGTTTTTTTATTATGATTATTCTTCGTTTGTTTTTCTTTTTTTTTTAAGTTTGTAATTTCTATTATATTTTCTTTGTTTGTAATTAAATACATTGTTGGATTTAGGATTTGTAATTTATAAACTTGAGTTTGATTTACTTTTTCTTCCCGTTCCAGGCTCTCTCACGTGCGAATGCTGTACCTGCATGCCCGGCAAATTGCTCAATAGTCGAAGCATTCTGCCTTCTGAATCCCCGCGTAAATAATTGAGTAAATAGAGTCGCGGGTAAACATTTATTGTAAAATTCGATCTCCGTATACAAGATAATAGAGATATAAGTTCGTTTAACGCACTGGTAACAATTTTTCGATATTACCTATAATACGCAATAATCGGAATAACGAATCTTAAGAAAATTATTTCATTCATAAATATTTATCTATCAAATGTTTAATCTATCAATCAATTAGACCAAAACTGTGAAAACTAATTACTGTGAAGATATTTTTATACTTACGTAAGAATAAGCTTTTCATACTTTTAATATATATTTACAAGTAAATATATGCTTATCCAAAAACATTGAAATATCTCTAATAGTATAAAAATACAATTAAAATAACTTTGATATTTCAGCTGTTTTTCGTAATATCAAAAGTGGAATGTACAGGTAAAAATGTGAAGTTCAACGATATGTTAATTAATGAAGTAATTAATTCTTCTAAAATTTATTAACTGTATTCAATGTCAAATTTAAAAATTATCACTTTGAAATTAAAAAATGACTAAAATATTCATACTTACTTATTTGAATAAGTTCTGGATTACAGAGGTCTATGCTTGAAACTACATTCAGTTCGCTAGTAGCCGGTTGATTATCAGGAGGTACTCCGCTCATATGAATTGCATTTGTAATGCAGAGATTGGGCTCTTTTAAATCGGTAGACGGTTGAATGACTGGTATCGATTCTGAAGCTAACTTTGCAACTCGGGCAGCAAAATCGGCTGCTACAGCATTATTATTCTACAATAATAAAAGTTAATTAAATAAATAGCATAAGTCCATAGACTAAATAAAAGTTTTTAATGTCACAATTTAGTTGTTATTATTATATATGTGTTAGGCAAGTGTGACTATTAACTATTAACTATCAACAAATTGTTTAATAAGTTCCATAGAAACTTGAGTAGAAAAAAGGAGGATTTTTATAGGTAATTTCTTGAGAAAATAAAAATATTCTTCATTAAATTTCATAGTTTTCTACAAATCAAAGGGACTCTATATCAAAGTACTAGCGGCCAATAGGATGTCATTTTCTTATTTTCAAAATTTCTTATAACCCCATGATCAATATATACGTTGATTTATTATCATTGAAAACTATTGTCATAAAGGGATTCTTAGAATCTCTTACCACCCATATGGTCCACTAAAAATTCGATTATACCCTGCCGTATTTCGACACATAATTTCTCGGTAGTGATAAGTAAATGAATATTTCGTTTAGAGATTTTACGTGTGAACAAAACCTTACAAACTAAATTAAAAATAATGGAACCACGAACATATTATATTTTAATTTAAGCTTTTGACTCTTTTAAATAAAATTATTTAGCTATGTGCAATAAATACTTGAGAATAATTAAAGTAAATAATAATAATTGGAAAATATATATATATATATTGTTATATATGAACGCTATGTTAACCTAACTAATTTAATTATTTTGTTCGTCTAAATAACTATTTTATAGTTTTTGATATACTTATAAATTATGGTTATGATTTCAATGATGGGTTGAGTCAATAGACATCTGTTATCCAGTAGGAGTGTTTGTTTAATTTATACAAAAGCATCAATCATCTATTTCTTTTCACCAACATATATTAAGCATTACCATATAACATGTGTGACGGAGAATCACGGCTCGACCTTGCTCTCCGCCGGGCTCTCACTAATCCCCCGTGCGCCTTGCCGAGCTGAGAGTGCGCTAGTTGAGCACACTCTAATCGCTCCGTCTCTCTTTTTTTTGTTCTTTCTTTTGAGGTGTGACGGCGACGGCAGCGATCGGAGGGAACCGACGTGGAGAGCACAGCGAGAGAGAGAGAGAGAGAGAGAGAGAGAGAGAGAGAGAGAGACAGAAGATAGACGAAAGCCAGCGAGGCGTCGGCAGATCTGCGCGCGCATCTCACTGGCGAGAAGAGGAGTGAGGCAGTATCGGTTGAGCACCCGTACGGTCCGCCGCGCGCACACGGATTTTCTTCTGGTTTTCCTGGCCTTGTTTATGGTTTGTGAGTCCCCGCGCCCTCGCCGAAGACTTGTGATTTTTGGAATACGTGTCCGGTGCGCGGAGTGTTGTCTGTCTGAGTATTAGTCCGCGGAGGTAGCGGAGCCGGCACCGGTGCACGTGGGTGACCTGCGAGGTGACGCGGGAGTGTACGCGCGTGCGACCCTCTTGGAGAATTAAGGTGAGCGAAAACTGCTCGCCGATCCTGGGCACGAGGCGAAATACGAGCCAACGCAGACCTACACACACAGACACGTTCGGGGGTCTCCAACACACCAACACGCCAACACGTCAACGTTCAACAGCATTAACAACAATAACATTATTAACAACGATAACAGGAATAACGGCAATAACATTGGTAACAACGATAACAGGAATAACGATAATAATATTAATAACAACGATAACCGGAATAACAACGATAATAATAATAACACTAACAATATCGCCAAACTCCGATCGGGAGAAGATTCGAGAAGCAGAAGAAGACCTGTTGTCTAGCTATTCGTCTTTCCCTTTTCCAGAGCATTCTGCCTTCGACAAGGACAAAGGTTGCCGATAATAAATAAATAGATATCCGGAGTCGACTCGAGGCAAGGTCGGTGTGGTGTTTTCTCTTTCTCTCTCTCTCTCTCTCTCTCTCTCTCTCTCTCTCCATTCGAGGCGTCGGATAAATACCTCGCAGTTCGGCAGCTCTGCCGATTGCGAGGTCGCGCTTTATTTTGTTCGGACGGTTGCCGTTTTGTATGCGAACGCAAGTTTTCTTTATTTTGTATTTTCTGCTGTTTTGTATATTTTCTATTATTTTGTAATTCATTTTATTTTATAATTTTCTTTAATTTGTATTCTCCGATTATTTTATATTCTATTTAAGTTCCTTTTGTTTCAATCAATTTTTCCGCGATTAAGTACCATCGTTTATCATTTCATCACCGTTATTATTAAAGATTATTGTGTTCAAACTCGGCCTTATTTATTACCCTCACAGTCACTCCTGATCCCGCGTAACAATCCGCGTACGATTAGCGCGTGTGCTCGACGCGTTATTCAGCCGTGGGAACGATTTTTGCTTCCCGAATCCCCGAATAAATAATCTGTACGGGCAGTCGTGAGCCATTCGAAGAAGGACGACTGAGATTCACCGTTACACATGATTGAAATCTTGTAACTCGTAACCACACTTACACCGCGCATCACCTATAACTTTTATTTTACAACCAGAAACTTATTTTCCCGGACATGTAAATCTGATGTCTTGATCACTAGACGAGTCAGAAAGATAGTTCGCTCGTGAACAATAATACATATTTCATAGTTAAAGTATTCAATAAGTAAAAAAAAACATTTTAATGTAAAATTATGATATATGAAATATTCGTTTCGATTAGTTTTCAATTAATTTATGTATAGAAAATAAACGTGTCCAATAATTTTGCACTTCTTAATAAGTATTATTTTATTTATGTATTCAAATTAAATATCATTCTGTGTAATAAAACAAATTAAAAAATTCGTGTTGAATAAAATCGTGTATAATCGATATGTTTACGAAATGAACCCAACAGTGTGTGTGTGTGTGTGTGTGTGTACGTCATTCTCCGTCAACAAATGACCCCCTACAAGACAAAAATTATTTTGTTCATGAAATTTTTGTAGGTGCTCAATCAAAAGCTCTTGAAGTCTACTTTTGAATTTCGAGCGGTCTTTTCCCTAAAACTTAACATCTGATCAAATATGTCTGTCAAAACCACGTGACTCGACTTTTTTGTTTATTAAATTGATAATAAAACCAGCATCATGAAGCTGATTGAGCTCTAGAACAACCCAAATGAAAGGTCTTGAGCTCTACTTTCAAAAACCATATGATACAAATTTTTCCGTTCGGGGTAAAATCGAATATATGACGCCCAAAACCACGTACAAGTCGAGATTTTCGAAAAATCAACCATTTATTATCGAATTTGATATATGGGGGCATTTGTGATCACTGATCATGAAAAAAAAACAGGCGGATAAGTGAGAAAGAATTTAGAGATGGTTTAAAAAAAAAATGAAAAACGGAAAAGCAGCGGGTCAGAACGAACTCTTCATTGAATTCATAAAGGGACTATCAGATAGCTGGGTACAAACAATAATAGAAATTTTCAATGAATTATGGGACAAGAGAGAGATTTTAGAGGGTTGGGAAATAGCACGAATTTATCTAATATTTGAAAGTGGTGAGGAGGAGACTAAAAATTATAGGGGATATCGCTGCTAGACGTGAGCTATAAATTAATGACGAAAATAATGGCTGGAAAAATCAGTCAATGGGCAGAGAGCAATAAACTATATAGGGAAAGCCAAGCAGGATTCAGAGGAAAAAGAGGGACGAGAGAGCACATTTAGTAATGAATTCGATTATAGGCAATAAGCTAAAAAGGAAAGGAGGAAAATTGTATTTAGGATTTATTGATTTCAAAAATGCGTTTGACAGAATAAATAGAGATAAAATGTTGGAAAAATTACAAAAAAAGAGGATAAGAGGGAAAATGTTACAGATGATAAAAACAATTTACACATCTACAAAGAATGAGGTGTAACGATAAAATTTGCACGTTACCAAATTTTTGGGTGGGCAAGTGAAGCGTACTCGCTGATAGCAATCGGGGAGGGGAAAGGAAAGGTCAAGAAATACACTGCACTCGCGTCTCAGAAAAACCATTAAATCATTTTATCTGACTCTATTAACACAAACAATACAAGACCTTACACTATTGAACACAACTAATTTATTATTGCATATAACATACAAAGAAACGGAGAGATAAACTAAAATTAACCGCGCTTACAAAATTTAACGACCAACGGACGTATCGCTCGGCAGATAACCGCCTTGACGACAAACCGACTTAGCCTAATAACGCTAAGCGAAACCACCAGTCATAGGATCGCCTTGACGGATCGCTACCTGACATACTACGCTGGCCGTGTAAATACCAGCAGGTCACCTACGCGCTAACGCTTTGCCACCTACTTGACACTTACACTATGTGCCATATCGCCAAAGAGAGAGACAGAGAAAGAAAGAACAAAAGAAAATGGCCTTGACCTTTACTATGCGGGATTTTGGGGAGGCCTGGCTACGCCCTGCGGATGATGTTGCTGGCCGTCGCTGGGTAACTTCTAGCCGGCTTGTTCCGGTAGCGTTCCTCGCAGAGGTGCTGATAAAAGGGACTTTCGTCCTTTGACTTCGTAGCTTTCTTCTCAGCTCCTCGGGGTGGCGTATGTGCGTTCGGCTGACTGACTTCTGCCTCTCAACACAGTAAGGCAGGAGTGCCCACTGAGCCCTAGCCTATTCTGTTTGTTCATGGACGATATGGACGATATTTGGGAAAAGAAAGAAATAGGAGGGACAGTAGTGGGAGGGAAAAAATTCTATTGCTTAAACGTAACATACTGTCTTGATTCCCTTATGATTTGTTTAAATGATAAATTTTGTAATGATGGAACGAAGGGAAATTGTGATAGATGGAAAATCACGTAATTTTAATTATATTCAGCAACGTTTCGTCAACAAATTTGCTGACCTCTTCAGGCTTTGTTAAGAAAAAAACAAAACAAATTATTAACAATAGAGTTTTCACAAGTAATTTTAAAAGTATATAATTATAAGTATATGTGTATACCTGATTTCTCTCGTAGTCAAATTATTATAGGCTAAAACGAATAAATCGTAGCACAGTCAAAATT